ACAATGAAAGCATATTTAATTTCACAGCAAACTCCCATGGAGAAATTCAGGGCAGAGCAGAAAACTGTTCCCTTGAGCTTCCCTGATCTGAATAATTCTAGTACACAGTGGGGGGAGCAAGCATGTTATCAGGCTAGGAACATCCTGATAGAGCTCCCAATGAGATTGAGATATATATATATATATATATATATATATATATATATATATATAATATTTTATAAATACCACCATGACAGCTAATGTCAAGCTCCTAGGCAGAGCACCAGCTTTCCACTTGCTCTTGCTACGTATGTGCTGAAACAAGTGTGTAAAGCAGACTAGTTGAAACTACACAGACTGCAGAGTGACATACCCCTGGCACCAAATGAACTTACTGGCAGACAATGCTGTACCTAACCTATATTAGTTATTAGTAAAATAAAGGTTTTGTACAAATAGAATAAAAATTATAATAAAAAGTTAATAAACTAAATTTTAAACAAATTTACAATCATTGTCACATACCTAGTGGGTGGCTGAAGTGACGAGAGGGCTTCCCTTGCAGCTGAGTGCAGAGCAACCCTGAAGGTGGAGACAGGGAGTGCTGCGCCCAAAGAAGCACAGGTTGCCTGCTGTGGAGTAACCTGATGAGCAGGGTGGATGAGGCACTTGGAAAGGACTTGACCTTACAGCAGTTTCAGCAGGGCAGAAGACACTCCAGATGAGCAGGTGAAGTCTTGATCATGCCAGGGTACCAGCAGGACAGGTGGAACTCTAGATGCACAGTTGGATCTTGATAGATGAGCAGAACAGGAGGTTGAGTCATGAACCAGAGCCAGGATCATGCACAGCAGGTCAATCAGTTACAGAAGCAGAAGCGTGGTCAAGATCTAGCCGCGGTCATAAGCAAAGAGCAGACAGTAAGCAAAGTCCATATAACAAGCTGGGGTCAGAGCCAGGAAAGAAGCCAAGACAGGTCCAGGGGCAAGCTGAATCAACAATGGGAAATCCAAAATTATAGCAACACAGAAGCACAGGGAAACAGGGGGCTGATGATTATCCAGCAACTTGTCAACCAGAGTGCTGATTTTAAATAAATAGGCCACTGAACAGCAAGAACTGTCACACTTTGCATGTGCCATGGTGCACCGGCATGTGTGATTGCATGCGCACATACATGCACATGGGTGCGTGCCAGAGTACCCACACACAACATATGTGCGCATTTCTGCACAAATTAGCGTGGCCACGATGAATGTTGGTAAATATGCCCTTTCTTCTGCGGTTCATCTTCTGACAAAGTTTTTTTGTCCACTTTAAAGCTATTCTGTCACTATAGATTGGGTAAGCGCACACTATGCTATACACTTACTTTTCTGACTGCCTTTGTTTAAAATTCCAAGACATTGCCAATCTCTGGAAGCCACAGGTAACTGACACTTTCAGGTGTGTCAAATACCTGAACCTTCTGCTGCACAGTGTAGTTTTTCCCATTGGGTCAAATGTCACTACAGACAGTGCTTATTTTAATTATAACAGGGTCACTTTTAAGGTCTGTATTGATTTCAGCAGATGTTTACTTGAGTGGTGAAACAATCTTCACTTTAAAATTCCAATCATGTTCAAGGAAGTTGGCCTGAGTTATATAAATGTCCTATCCCTTCAGTAAATCAACCATTATAGCTCTAATCTCAAGGTCAACAAGTGCCACTGCTCTAAGGAAGGGGGCCAGCCCCCCAAAACACATCAGCTGGTATTGTCCTCCACACATTTGTTGATATTTGGGAGCAGATTTCAGGATTCTGTGCTTTTTGTTATGACATCATTGTTATTTGGCTTGTAAGTATACCCTGTTTTCTTTTACCAGTTGATAAAGTGCTGGAAATAATACACTAGGCTAAGGGTGGCCCTCCAGTTAATGCAAAACTACAATTCTCATCATGTTTCTTCCTTTGGGAGTCATATTTATAACTGTCAGCCTTGCAATGCCTCATGGGACTTGTAGTTCTGCAACAGCTGGAGGGCAACAGGTTGAGCACCCATGCAGGCGTTTGCACCCTGTTTGAAAAACAATCCCACACCATAATCCCCCCTCCACCAAACTTTACACATGGCACAATGCAGTCAAGCAAGTACCGTTCTCCTGGCAACCACCAAACCCAGACACACCTATCAGATTGCCAGACAGAGAAGCGTGATTCATTACTCCAGAGAACATGTCTCCACTGCTCTAGAGTCCAGTGGTGGCGTGCTTTACGCCACTACATCCAACGCCTTCAATTGCACGTGGTGATGTAAGGCTTGGATGCAGCTGCTTGGCCATGGAAACCCATTCCATGAAGCTCTCTACACACTGTTGTTGTGCTAAACTGAAGGCCACACAAAGTTTGGAGGTCTTTAGCTATTGACTCTGCAGACAGTTGGTGACTTCTGCGCACTGTGCACTTCAGCATGCACTGACCCTGCTCTGTCATTTTACAGGGCCTACCACTTCATAGCTGAGTTGCTGTTGTTCCCAGTTGCTTCCACTTTGTTACAACACTGATAACAGTTGATTTAGTAGTAAGGAAATTTCATGGATAGACTTATTGCACAGGTGGCAACCTATCACGGTACCATGCTTGAATTTACTGAGCTCCAGAGAACGACCCATTCTTTCACAAATGTTTGTAGCAACAGACTGCATACCTAGGTCCTTTATTTTATACACTTGTGGCCATGGAGGTGATTAGAACACCTGAATCCAATGATTTGGAGGGGTGTCCCAATACTTTGGCAATATAGTGTATATCATGGTTTCACCCTGTATTGGGTGAAAAACAAAAATATATAAATCTTACAAAATAAAATGCAAAACATCAGTTTAACTACAAAAAAATGCAAACAATGATCCAAAACTTTATAGTTTACTTTTAAATGCTCGATAAATGTTTGAGAATATACTGTACTGATCCTTGTAGCAAATATTGTAAATATCATGTAAAATATGGATAATTGTGCACATCCATAGACTGTTATATACATATTTAAAGCTTCTTTCTCTAAAGACAATTTGTATTTTAGGATGACTGATCCTTTAAATTGGAATACTTATAGCCGTAGCTCGCTTTGTGATACAGATATGTCTATTATGGGCTTTTCCCTGCATATGGCTCTGTACCATGGCACTAATGCACTGATAATGGAGATATTATTGGCACTGTTATGGCAATTAGCATAATGTTGTTCATTATCTCTGTCTGCAAAATGAAAATGGTGTGACAAAAAAATTGATATTAACAAAGTTATTATTGTCTAAATTGTATTTACTGCAGGTTATAGAAAAAAATAGTTATATGGGGTGATCCACTACCATATGAAATAGCTCTATTAACTTGTAACATTGGCTGACTTGGATGCAAATGTAAATAGTAAATATAAAGAGAAGCAGAGACACCAAAGCTGATGAACCAGTTTAAAATTATTTCATTGGGGTGTGTCAATCAGGATGGAATGATGCAACATGAGTGTAGGGGCCCTGCTTTAGGATGGAGTGTCCCTAGTGCAATGACTAGTATTGTAGCTAGAGGTTGTAGTCAGCATGAGCTCTAATTTTTGTTTGTTTGTTTTCCCATATGTTCAGGATCGTGTTTGCTTCTGCCTGTTGTCAGAGTGTCCTAGCAAGAGCAAGAGGAAACAACATTACTGAGTCATGAATATCTGTCTCTCTGGCAAATCACTAGGTGGTTTATTGCCAGTAGTGCAAGTTGGGGGGATATAAATATTTGGGGTGACCTTAGAGAAGGATCCTTGCCTGGACTGTCATGTTAGAGTATTGTGCCTCTAAGGCCTGTTGCCCAAAAGAGCCTGTATTGAAAGAGTTTAGTGCCTGGGATCTTCAAGAGTTGTTCTTCTTGATAGAACACCTGAGGAACAGGCTTTGCTGCTGAATAGTGTGTTGGAGAACTGGGTACAAATCCCTGTCACATACCTGGTAGTGAACAAGTTGGCAGGAGGGCTTCCATTACATCTTCTGCTCAATACAACCTTGAGTGTGTGAAGTGGGCAAGAGGTGGGACAGATGGGAGCTGCTGTGCTGCTGGAGACACTTTCTCCTGACTATGCAGGAAGCTGGTACATAGGTTTGGCACAGGAACTTGCAGGTTTGAGTAGGACGAGTACAGGAGATCTGGATGTAGCAGCGTCAGGAGGCAATTTGGGTCAAACACAGGACAACAGAATGCAAGTTAGGTCAAAGGAGCTTATGACCACACAGCAACTCCTCTCAGTTCTGGTGTGCATTAAACAGGGCTCTTGGCACCAAAGCTAGTGCTGGAAGTGCACGCTCATTCATGCTAATTCACACGCATGAGGACACGCATTAGCACATGCTTCAACAAATGCCAATGTGCCAACAACTGTGACCCAATGCAATAGACCACATGTTTTAACCACTTGACAACTGGGCTATAGCCAAATGACAGTTACAGCACGGTCGTCTAGTTCTGGGAGGGCGCCATATGACATCCTCCCAGAACGCGCGCCCCAGCGCCACGCACCTGGCACTCTGTGATTGCTGTGTCCTTTGGACACAGCTAACCACATGACTTGGTAAAGGGCCGATCACATCTCCATTTTACCATGTGATCATCTGTGTTCAATGACACAGCTGGAAATTCTGAAGGACCCTCTGCACACTGGTATATACCCCACACCGCTGATTACAATGTCAATACAGTTGCCAGTTACATAGTCTGGCTGAAAGACAAAGGTCCATCCAGTTCAACCATAAAAAAAACAAGTTATAATCCTATATCCACAGTTGATCCAGAGGAAGGAAAAATCCCAGTAAAGCACGATCCAATTTGCTCCTGGAGGGGATAAAATTCCTTCCTCATCCCCCGAGAGGTAATCGGATATTCCCTGAATCAACTTTACCTATAAATGTTAGTATCCAATTATATTATGTGCATATAGGAAAGAATCCAGGCCTTTTTTAAAGCAATCCACTGAGTTGGTGAGACCCAACTATTGAGGGAGCCCAGGGGCGGACTGACATTTGGAAACTCGGGCACTGCCCGAGGGCCCAGGGTCAGTAGGGGGCCCCATGAGATGCCCCTGGTACCTTTTTCATAGGCTTTTTTAAGCTTGAGCAAGGGCACAGGGGCCCCATGATCCCCTATTGCCTGGGGCCCCATAAGTTGTCAGTCCGCCCCTGAAGGAGTCTATTCCACATCTTCACAGCTCTTACTGTGAAGAAAACTTTCCATATTTGGAGATTAAATCTCTTTTCCTCCAGACGTAAAGAGTGCCTCCTTGTCCTCTGTGCTGATCTCAGGGTGAATAACTCTACACTGAGTTCACTACATGAACCACTGATGTATATCAGTGTTGACAAAGTCCGGTAGAGACGAGACGCGTCCAGGGCACGTGACGTTCCTGGAAGTGCTGCGGCAGCCATTTTGGATTCTGGAATCCCTGTGTGTTGGAGGTCTGGAGAGTAACGGTGCACTTCAGGTGTCCCCCAGAGCTACAAAGTGATAGTGCTGGATAGGAGTAGCAAGGGGGAATTACCTGTTGATCGGGAGACCCTCTCTACACACGGAAAGGGGATCGTATACTGGGCATGAGGAGTTTGATGCTGTCTTGCTGATCTTATCGTTTTTATATGTAAGTGGCTACAATAAATTTTATATATGATTATGATTCACATACTGATTCCTGGTCTGTTTGTGAGGTCCTGATGAACAAGAGGATACCAATCTAAGGACACTGTACATATGTGGTTGATTACAAGCTGGAATTTGTTTGTTTTAGGGTAATTATGCACTTTATATATAGTTTGCAGTGATATTTATAAAATGTTTTTTTTTTTTTTTTTTTTCACACGAGTGCTGTGACACTGGAGTGTTGTTTTTTTTTTTTTTTTTTTTGCATGATACACGTGTGGCACTTTAGTTCTGGGATTTAAAAGGTAATATACTATGTTGAGATTTTGTTTTTTGAGGTATTTGAAGAGCACCTGTGATTGATTTGCATCTTTTTCAGTGGAGTAGGAAGCGTCTTTCTATCAAGAAATTGATCTTTGTTTGGACACATTATTTGGACACTTTGCATATTGGGACTTTATTTTATTTTTGTTCTTTTATATATATTTGATATTTTTTATTTTTGGGTAATCTCTTTGGGTCTTGATTTTTTCACTATAATTGTGGGTTTTTGGGTTTAAGTCAATGAATATATGTTTTATTAGTACTTCAGGGGAAGGATATTGATATGACTTTAAGGGATTTCTGAGGATTTTATATATATATGTGTGCTGATTTATACTTATACTGATGTATTTATACATGTTGATCATATCCCTCCTTAATCTCCTCTTCTCAAGGGAGATTAAATTCAGTTCCTCTAATCTTTCCTCATAGCTGAGCTCCTCCATGCCTCTTATCAGTTTGGTTACCCTTCTCTGCACTTTCTCCAGTTCCCCAATATTTTTTTTGTGAATTGGTACCCAAAACTGAACTGCATATTCCAGATGAGGATTTACTAAAGATTGGTACAGGGGTAAAATTATATCTCTCCCTCTGGAGTCTATACCTCTTTTAATACAAGAGAGGATTTTGCTCGCTTTAGAAATCGCAGCTTGGCATTGCATGCCATTATTAAGCTTGTGATCTGCCAGAACCCCCAGATCCTTCCCCTCCATTGATTCCCCCAGTTGTACCCCCCCAGTATGTATGATGCATGCATATTCTTAGCCCCCAAGTGCATATCCTTCCATTTATCAACATCAAACCTCATTTGCCACATAGTTGCCCAATTAAACAGTGCATTGAGGTCGGCTTGTAAGTTGGAGACATCCTGTAAGGTTGTTATTCCACTGCACAGCTTGGTGTCATCTGCAAAGACTGAAATGGTATTTTTAATCCATGAATCCAAGCTGTCCATTGCTTAAAATATTTTTTTTCCAGCAAGAACTCAACTATGTGGTCTTTTTCTAAACTCTCCAGTATGTTTCCCAGCTATAGAAGTTAAACTAACAGGTCTGTAATAACTTGGTAAAGATTTTGATCCCTTTTTAAATATAGGCACAATGGCATTACACCATTCCAGTGGTACTATACCAGTCATTAAAAATTAGAAACAATGGCTTTGAAATGACAGAGCTCAATTCTTTAAGGACCCGTGGGTGTATGCTATCCAGTCCAGGTGCTTTATTCACCTTTATTCTGTCTAAATATTTCTAGACCATGAGTTGTGAGCCAATGTGGATCATCTGGGGCTGTTTCAATACCATGCCCATTATGGGCATGATCTCCCCCATGCTCCTTTGTATACACAGAGCTGAAGAAGGTATTTAATAAATTTGCCTTCTCCTTGTCCCCAGTCACCCACTGTAGATGATTTTGTAAAGGGCCTAAATGCTCGGACTGGATCTTTTTAATATTAATATAGTTTAAGAATTTTGGGGGGTTTTGTCCTGCTATCTTTTGCAATATGTCAGGGCAGGAGCTGAGGAACGGACAGGCAGGCCTAACAATGTAACGCACTGGCTGACGACAACCACCACCCACAGACCGAAGTCCCTCAGGGCGCGGAGTCTAAGTCCCAGGCTGCCCTTCACCAGGGCCCCTGATGGTGGGGATGGACTTGACGCAGCCAGGAACCAGGTCGCGGCCCCCGAGACACCTCAGCTGCGGTAATGGCCGCCGCCAATGGCATGTAGCTGGTGGAAGAGACAAAAGAGTAGTCAGACAAGCCGGGGTCAACAACAACAGGAGAGAACAGTACAGAACAGCAGACGAGAATCACAGGTCACGAGCCGGGTTCAGCAACAGAGGGTCAGATCAAAGGAGAATACAAAGAATAGTCAAGACAAGCCGAATCAGATACCAGGAGAGTCACGAGAGTCAGAACAGAGTAATAGCAACACAAAGACACAAGACACAAGTGCAAAGAGCATGTGCGGGCCACAGGCTTATATGTCATCAGCCACACCCCTCTGGAGGATGGACCACAGAAACCTGAAGGCATAAAAGGACTCCCATCATGCACAGCAGAATCCAAGATGGACGCCAGCACATGGAGTAAAATAACCTCAGGGAAAAGGTAGGACCTTGACACAATCTGTCGTTCGTTTTCAATTTTTGTGGCCTGGATTTCCTTTTTACATATTCTGTTATATTCTTTGTACTGTTTAAACGATGATAGCGTTCCTGCATTTTGATATTTAATAAAAGCTCTTTTCTTATTATTTAGAGATGTTTTAATTTTGGCCGAAAGCCACATAGGTTTGATTTTTAAGCCTTTTAAACTTGTTTCCCATGTGAATATATTTTGCAGTGTATTCACATACAGTCTTTAACAACTCCCATTTCTGTGTTGTGTTCATCAATGCCAATATTCCCTCCCGAACTAAGTCTTGGAGAGCAGCTCTCAGCCTTGGAAAATTAGCTTTCTTAAAGTTGAGCATTTTTATATTTCCTGTATGGGCTTGATGTTTACAGCTAGCAGTAAATGAAATCTTGTTATAGTCACTGCCCAGATGTTCTTTTATATGGACATTAGTAATAAGCTCTGCACGGTTTGTGATTACCAGGTCCAGCAGAGCATCATTCCTAGTTGGGGCCTCTATGAACTGTACCATAAAATTATCCTGTAGTAGGTTTGTAAATGTTTGCCCTTTAACTGTCCCTGCAGTGCCATTACTCCAGTCAATTCTGGGTAGTTAAAATCCCCTATTATTATAACTGTCCCAGCACTTGCAGCCCTTTTCATTCTGTGCAAAGAGCTGAGTTTCCACCTCCTAATTAACACTGGGTGGCCTATAACAAACTCCAATTATTAACTTTGTAGTACGCACCTCCATGTGCAGTTCCACCCATAATGCTTAATCCTCTCTATTTACCCTGTCTCTCCGAAAGAGAACATAGCCAGGAATATTAATGGCCCAGTCATGTGAAGAATGAAGCCAAGATTCAGCAATACCAATTAAATCATAGTTCTCTTCATGCACCAAAGCCTCCAACTCACCTATTTTGCTTGGCAGACTTCTGGTATTGGTGAACAAACACTTTCATTCATTGACACCTTGTGCACACGTATTTTGCATATTTTCTATTTTTGTACAAATGATACCAATTTCAATGGTTGTTGGTAACATGGGACCCTTCTTATAACCTGCCATAGCCCTCCCCCCATCTTTCCCCATTCCACCCACCAATAAGTACTGTCCCCCGTCTGACTTGTCTGCCCCATTACAATCTAATTCTCTCTTCCCCCTCACTTCTAGCTTAAATACTCCTCCAGCCATCCCATAAACCTCTCTCTCAGCACAGCAGACCCCCTTCCATTTAGGTGCAAACCATCTCTAGCATATAGGTTGCACCCCAATTAAAAGTCAGCCCAGTGCTTTAGAAACCCATATCCTTCCCTTTTACGCCAGGTCTTTAGCCATGCATTTAGTTTTCTAATCTTACTCTGTCTTTCCTGAGTTGCGCGTGGCACAGGTAATATTTCAGAGACTTTCACCCTGAAGGTCCTTACCGTCAACTTGCAGCCTAGTTCTTGAAATTGATTCTTAAGGAGCCATCACCTTCCATGTATTCTGTCATTGGTTCCAACATGGACCAAGACAGCTGGGTCATGACCAGCCCCTATCATAATTTATCAACCTTGTCTGCCACATGCCGAACCCTGGTGACAAAATATTCTATCAGTCCTTCTGATTATAGAATCCCCTATTACTACCAACTGTCTAGGCCTTCCTGTGCAATATCCTCACCACCCCTCCCAGCTGATCTGCCCTCCTGGCTGTTAGGGATAGCAGGGACATCCAGGCTGCCAACCCTGAGCTTGCCGCCCACACATCTTCACCCAACATCAAACCCAGGACCAACTTTCCTTTTTCTGTGAGCCCCTACCACTCCCTCTCACTACAGTAACCCATCTTACTACCTGATAGTATCCCTCCTGGAGCTGTTGCTCTATTGTTGCATACATGAAGCACACTGTGCCATGCACAACATTTTCGACCCTGCTAGCACTCATTATCCCAGTTACAATATTAACCGCCCTGGTGGTATTCCCGAATGTGGCTCGGAGTTCATTTTCAGTACCAAAAGCGACAACCGCAAGTCACGCTCGGGATTACACTGTAGTGTAACTTACCTTGTCCCTGCGATCCCCTGATGTCCTCCCACTGTGTCCTCCGGCCGATGCCAGCATCCGTCTTCAGGGTTCCCTTCCCTGCGAGTGCCGCGATGCAGGGAGTGGAATCGGTGGGTGATTCAAAAAAGTAAACAAAACATGACATACACACAATACATTGTAATCTATTGGGATTACATTACTGTAACAAACCATTTCACCTCTGTTTTGTTCCTAATGCTTTGTCCTGTGCCCTGCCTGCACTTTTACCATTCTTTCTGCCTGGAAACTTGAGAATGTCCATGGCATCTAGAAAGTGTCCCTTTAGGTCAAAAGCCATTTTAGACCAGCTAGAAAACAGTGATAGTGAATTAGAATCACTTGCAGAATTGAGCAATAGTGATTCGTGGTGAAATTCGTCATCAGACACTGAAAGTGACGACAGCGACGATTCTGCGACTGAGCTCAGTGATGTGCGAACTTGGTGCTCTATTTCAAATTTCAGTATTTTTGGTTTGATTACATTATTGAATTAAATTTATTATCACATTATTTTTAATAATTATTTATAATTGTTTATTATATTATAATGTATTATTTTGTGTTTCAAACTTTATCATACCCGGGATGTTTATTAGACTCTTGTTTGGACAGATTTAAGTGAGTTATTCCTAAGAATTCCTACTATATAAAACAACAAATTTCCATGCAAAAAAATTTGCGGCTATGACATTCAAAAATATTGACATAATCAGACTGCCAGGGAATATTACTAACAGGAAATATTAGTTATAATCGCCTGTTTACAATTCCAGTTTTTAACTTCACTTAATCAGAGGTCCAGGGGCGGTCTGACAACTCATGGGGCCCCCGGGCAATAGGGGATCATGGGGCCCCTGTGTCCTTGCCCAAACTTAAAAAAGCCTATGAAAAAGGTACCAGGGGCATCTCATGCGGCCCCCTACTGACCCCGGGCCCTCAGGCAGTGCCCGAGTTTCCAAATGGTCAGTCCGCCCCTGCAGAGGTCCACTTGCTCAAAGGTCCAGCAAGCAAAGTACAGGCACGCTCAAAAATGAGCAAGCTCAGAGTGAGCTCTATAGCAAGTTATATAGGACCTGGAGCACCTGTGACCAACTAACCCCTCCCCTTAATCAGCAGACTGAAGGACGGAAAGGAAAGGAAAAAAAATGCTATTTAAAAGATGACAGGAAAAGTGATTTAAAAAGTTAAAGCTGCTAGCAAGACCCAAAGAAGAAAATAAAACAACTACAAGCACCAGCAAGCACCAGCAGTCAAAAGCAAAACTGTTTTTTCACTCTCCACTCAAATTTCCCACTCTTTTTAGCTTCCAGACAGCAAAATGTGCCAGTTATTGACTGCACTTTCCTCACGCTGTGACAGCGTGAGGAGAGCTGGTAATTTGCAACTGTATATACACATCAGGAGATCAGTGCAGCCCCAACAATGTCCATCAGTGCAGTCCCAAAAGTGTGTCCATCAGTGCAGTCCAAACAGTGTCCATCAGTGCTGCCAATCAGGGTACATCAGTGCAGTCCCAACAGTGTATCAATGCTGCCAGTTAATGTCCACCAGTGACGCCAGTCATTGTTCATTGTGTCCACCAGTCGGTGTTCATCAGTGCAGCCAGTCAGTGCCCATCAATGCCGCCAGTCAGTGTAATCTATCAGTGACCTTCAGTGCCACCTATCAGTGCCCATCACTGCAGCCTATCAGTGCCTAGCAGTGCAGCCTCATCAGTGCCACCTCATCAGTACCCATCAGTGCAGTCTATCAGTCTATCAGTGCCCCTCATTGCTGCATATCATTGCCCATCAGTGCAGCCTCATCATTTGCAAAATTTTATAACAGAAACAAAGTAAAATGATTTTGTTTTCCATTTTTGGTGTTTTTTTTGTTTGTTTAGCAAAAAATACAATCCCAGTGGTGATTAAATACCTTCAAAAGCAAGCTCTATATGTCTCAAAAATGATAAAAAATGTCATGACTGCGCAATAGTCATTCAAAATGCAATAGCACTGAAATCTGAAAATTGGCCTGGGCAGGAAAGGGGTGAAAGTGCCCAGTAGGCAAATGGTTAATATGTGCAATATCTCCAAGCACTACAATGGACTCAATCTTCCTAATAGCAGCTAATTATTGACATTGCATGGATCCTATCTACTTGCTCTAAAAGGTGATGTCTGGTGGTACAGATTGATGGTCTCAGCTTAAAGGCTGGAGCTGCATTATTGTTGTTTTTTTGGGGGGAGTATTCTGTGCTCTAACTCTCACTCTTGAGTTTACTGTGCCTGATAAACACTCTTAAACTGCTATTAAACCCACAACAGTAACATCGGTCTGTATATGCAGTAAAGCATGTTTATTATACTCACTGTGGAACCTAAGGGGTTAATCCTCTACATTGTATAAAAAAAGGATGTTTGATCCTGACTTCTCTGATCCTCCCCTTCTTCCAGTGTCTACTAAATATCTCCTGATAGAACAGAGGCCCTGGGGCAAGTTGCAGATGCTCAGTTTGCTGTGTATTGCTGGAGAGTTTTTTTTTTGCTTGGGAGAGTGAATGTGATCAGCACAGAGCCAATCAGCCCCTCTCCAGACAAAGGTCAGGGGTTCTACATCCTCCTACAGGTGAATGAAAACCCCTACAAGCTTTAACCAGCGCTCTGCTGGACACTGACAGAAGTCACAAGACTGCTCTAACTGCTGATGAGAAAATGTATTTAGCAGTTTATATTTACTATAATAATTGCATTTTCATGTTGTGAGTACTGTGGGAGACCAGATATAGTGAATGCAGGGTCCTGGGTTTAGTAACACTTTAAAACATTCTAAAGTGAGCAAGGTCCAATTCTTTCACCTTGCACAGACTCCCCCTCCTGGGGGTCTTCATCATCTGTCCAGGGATACAGGAGTCTATACAAAGAGAATGGATCCTGCACCAAAGTCCAAAAATGTCCTTAAAAAGCAATTATTGTAATAGGAAAAATATAAAACAAATAACGTTGATACATTTTAAGTAATTGCCAATCCAAAGTGCAGAATGTAAAATCATTGCATGTATTAATCAGGGGTGGACTGACCATTTGAAAACTCGGGCACTGCCCGAGGGCCCGGGGTCAGTAGGGGGCCCCATGATATGCCCCTGGTACCTTTTTCATAGGTTTTTTTGAGTTTGGGCAAGGACACAGGGGCCCCATGATCCACTATTGCCTGGGGGCCCCATGAGTTGTCAGTCCACCCCTGGTATTAATACAATAGTTAATGAATGATCCCTATTGAATGATCCCAATAGTGTTATGGACAGAACCCTTCTTGCTTCTTAAGTCAAGGACAACATTTTGTTCTATCCTCAGTTCCTGAGTCACTTTGATTTATGTTGGACTTGGATTTACCTGGGTTGAAGCCCCATTTTTTGCTAATGAGAAAGTGTAATTTGACTATAATTATTCATTTTATTATTATTATTATTATTATTATTATTATAATTATTCATTTTACATATTCTACAAAATTCCAGTATAGTTATTATAGTCTTTATCGTACATCCAACTAGAATGGTTTCCCTGCTCACAATCATCTTTTCTCTTTCTGCCTTTGGGCACCTTATCATTTCACCGCTGTTCCTGCTCTCCGTAACCCTGACAATCATGGTAATGTAATTGAACCAAGAAGGTAGATGTATACTTCCTTACTGGGTGAATTAGATCATTAAGTAACAATGTAATTACAAACAGAGAGTTACATTATTTAATTAAAGTAGAACGTTGGTCTCCCATTGAAAATGTATGTATGTGTCACAGCACATAATTATAATTGCATCGGCACTTATGGTTTTCTCTTAGTCCCCTACAAAGCCCCCCAAATACCTAATGATCTTGCCAGTAATATTCACCTAATGCAGCAACCTGTGATTGTGTAGCAACAATGCTGCACTGTTCCTGAATTCAGGCTAGGTTCACACCTTTGCAGGTTGCATTTAGGCCATTTCTGAATTGCGTTTTTTGGTGTTTCTTTTTTTTTGCTGCATTTTTTTTTTCTTGTTGCTAGGCAGATTTAAACACAAAACGCAGCAAAATTCATAAAAACCGCACTACATGCTTTTCTGCAGCATTGCTATTGAAGTCTATAGAACCAAAAATGCAACTTTTTGCTTTCAAAAAAGTCCCTTACCCTTTCCAACAAAACGCACCGGGTGAAAACATGGAGATGTGAACATGTCCCACAGGAAATCCTGTTAAATGGACTGTACTGCGTTTCTGCAAAACGCAGTGGAAATCGCTTAGGTGTGAAGCTAGGGTCAAAGCACAGTTTCCACTCTGATGCAGGCTGTGTCTGCTTGCAGTACAGTTGGATGAAAAATGTTACAGGGGGCATTACTATCGGCATTGTCACTCCTGATTCACAAGCCTGTAGCTAACTCCTAGTCACTTCTATTCCTACACACTGCTTTCTTGATTGACAGCACTGCCTCTGTTTCTCACCTTTCAAATCATCTTTCACCGTGAGCTGCAGTGTCTGGGAGGGGAAGCGTGTGAGACACAAATGAAGGAGGATTTGACTCAGTCATGGAAGGTAAAGAAGCTTTTTTCATTTACTCACTGTTTCTTTACCAAAAAAAACAAAAGTAAATGAATGAACAGATCATTTTAACAACTGAATCAAGCCTATGTAGATCAAAATTCATAAACATAGCATCATAATTGGATGCTGTCTCTTTTACATTTGTTTTTAGGCAAGAAACCTATCTACTGTATAGTTTATACTTTTGTCCACCTATGATTATTATTTTCAACAACTAAACAATAAACAGATCTGAAAAATGTTTTTATACTGATGTAGACTGAACGTAACTGAAGATGGGTGTACAGTATAAGGTTCATGCACATAGGGTTTTAACAGGCATTTTACATGCCTAGTATAATTTCCTGACACTTTCCTGCTCCCCAGAATCACATGTGCTATGTACAGCCTGCCTTACAAGTGAATGGCTGTATGTGACTGTACTCTTTTAAATGCTGATGCTACTTTGCATTGGCATTTGCTCTTGCATGCAAAGTCTGATGTTCTGAAAATATCTCTGATGAACAAGGGACCCCCTTCGAAATGCGTCAGCCTTACTTTGGGAGTCTGCCCTTGTGAGGTGATCCGCACTGGTTCTACACTCCTAAAGTTCCATTGAGGACCTATATTCTTGTTTTTCTGCATTGTTTGTGAGTATAATTCTCAATTTAATAAAATCACAGTTTACCGAGGTAATGCGGAAGGTTGGTACGCTTTCTTTTTGTTTCACTTTGCAGTACTGGATGGGCTTCCCCAGCCTTGTTTAGAGCCGCACAACCTTTCATGCATTGGTGGTCGAATTTTTCTCAAGTTCCTTTTCCATCCGTCCACTTTTGCTCTGGTTCGTAGAGCGCAGGAGATGTTGTTTCTGTTCTGAAAATATATCACATGTGCAGGGGCGGACTGACAACTCATGGGGCCCCCGGGCAATAGGGGATCATGGGGACCCTGTGTCCTTGCCCAAACCTAAAAAAGCCTATGAAAAAGGTACCAGGGGCATCTCATGGGGCCCCCTACTGACCCCGGGCAAAGAATCATCTGCACCTACAAGAGCAGGGCTGTGCACAGCTATTCACTTATATGGCAGGCAGGTATATGACATCCCCAGACACAAAAAGCACCAGGAGATTAAGCTAGGCATTTAAAATGCATGTTAAAGACCCATGTGCATGAACCCTTAACGCTGTCTTCCAGCTTTACTGTCACTTTAAATAAATATTTCCTACACTGACAGGTGTGCTGTATAAGCTGTATGTAGCTTCAGCTACATTTAGTATACAGCCTTGTGTTCCCGCTGTGGGACGCAAACATCCCATTCCACACCTGGAACAAAATTGATTTGGGCTGAGCTGCTGTGTGATAGACATGTGCTATTCAGTTCAGTACAAGGCTATTTTCCTATGAACAGTTTGTTATTCAGACATTCGAATGTAAGGGAATATCCGAATCACAACAGAAATTAAGGACAATGAATCTGAACCAAAATTAAAACAGAATTTTCATATCCATTCATTAATTTGGATGATGTCATATGATGCAATAGTAGTTCGGGACCAGGGGGAGATTCATTTGATTTTCAAATTTGTTCAATAATTCAGAATTTCATTCCATTCATTAACTCGGATGCACATGACACCAGTCATTATTGTCCAGACAGCTTCTGCCATTTCTCTTGGTGGGTTGGAATAGCACCAGAACATATTGAATCCATCCAATTTGAATCCGTCCGATTTGATAATATATTCGATATATAGCAATCTTTTGAAAAAACTGCAACATTTTTAAAACCACCAGGACCAACAAATATACAAAACAAATGTTGAAGAGACCAAATGATTTCCTAAAACGAATCGGGAAAAACAATGAATATGACAAAATGAAATTCTTCAATGAACTAATGCATCCGAAATGAAAGGAAACAAACATTTCCGGTGTGCACATGTCTACTGTGTGATATCTCACAGATCAAATTATTGGATATATTCAGCAGAATCAAAAGCTGATTCTGCAATCACAATCCACAACATTTGAATCCTAACATATGATTTTTCTTCCACAACTACTACTTCTACAGCACAACTATTAATGGTGAATCCCCCTTATGTTTAGTATCATTTTGCTCTTCTTTTATGTAGATTGTACACCCTTTAGATTATGGAACTGGTTCCTATTATTTCAAGT